TTCGGCGTGGACTGCGAGACCTACCACACGGCCGGGGCCATCGGCACCCAGGGTGAGCCCCGGCACGGCCCCGGCGGGGCGCGGGGGGCTCCGCCGGGCTTCTCACCTCCTTCCCCCGCTTTTGGGTTTTTTCCCCATTTCCCTTTCCCTCTTCCCCTTTTCCTTCCCTTCCTTTTCGTCCTTTCTCTTCTCTCCTTACCTTCCTTCTCCTTCCCTGCCTTCCCTGGAGGTGTTTAAGAGGCACTGGGTGATGTGTTCGCTGGGTGATGTGGTTCAATGGTTTAGAGGTTACAGTGGCAGTGTGGGGCTGGTGGTTGGACTTGAAGATGTTGAAGGTCTCCTCCAACTTTGACGATTCTGTGATTCCACTGTTCCTTTTCCTTCCTTTCCCCTTTTCCCTTCTCCTTCCTTCCCCCTGGACTCCCAGGTCCTTTCCAGACCCTGCTGTGACAGTCAGAGGTGGCTCAGTGGCCCTGAGCCCGTGCAGCCCCAGGCTCTGCTCAGCCAGTGTTCCTGAACAGAGCAGTTTGGAGCTTCCAGAGCAGCTTTTTCCTACTCTTTCTGCAGCTGGAACTTGTACATCTCCATGGAGGAGAGGCTGAGCCCAGGCTCCCTCTGTGCCCGTGGGCAGGGGGTGCCCAGCCAGGGATGGGGGGGCTGGGTGCTCTTGGCTGATCCCCCCCAGACTCCAGAGTCGTGCTGGTGTTGTCCTGGGGCACCAGAACATTTAGTTTTCCCAGTAAACCTTCAGAATGAAATCCCATCTATTCCCTGAATGGCTGGATAACATAACATCCGTGTGGGGATGCAGAGTTAAAGCACCAGGGGGGACACAGGGAGGACCAGGTGGTGCTGTCAGGCGGGTACAAGCACAGGAGTGCTGGTTTCCCAGCCCGGATCCCCTGGCTGTCGTTGCAGGGCAGACAGGGAAGCTGATGTACGTGATGCACAACTCCGAGTACCCCCTGAGCTGCTTCGCCCTCTTCGAGAACGGGCCCTGCCTCGTGGCCGACGCCAACTTCGACACCCTCATGGTGAAGCTCAAGGGCTTCTTCCAGAACGCCAAGGCCAACAAGATCGAGAGCCGCGGCACCCGCTACCAGTACTGCGACTTCCTGGTGAAACTGGGCACCGTCACCATGGGGCCCAGCGCCAGGGGCATATCCGTGGAGGTGAGGGGCCTCTGGGAAGGGTGGGAAATACAAGGACACGCAGGGAAATTCCATGAGGGAGGACGGAGGAGGAGGGTTTAGGGGTGACCGAATTGTGGCTGTCCAGTGAGCTGAAGGGAGCTGAAAAGGAGGATGGAGAGACGCTATTTTACAAGGTCCTGGAGGGGCAGGACAAGGGGGAATGGCTTCACACTGACAGAGGGCAGGCTTAGATGGGATATTGGGAAGGAATTCTTGGCTGGGAGGGTGGAGAGGCCCTGGCACGGGTTGCCCAGAGAAGCTGTGGATGCCCCAACCCTGGGGCAAGGCTAGGTTGGATGGGGTTACCCCTCCGTGTTACATGCTAAACATTCTGGGATGTTTTCATGGAAAGCACACCCTGCAGCGAGGCAGGGAGCAGGGCACTGCCCCTCCTGCCAGCTCCAGGGCTGTGGGCTGTGTTCCCAGGTGGAATACTGCCCCTGTGTGATCGCCAACGACTGCTGGAACCTGCTCATGGAGTTCATGCAGAGCTTCATGGGCAGCCACACGCCCGGGATCCCGTCGGTGTTCGGGGCCAAGCACGACAGCGTGTACAGCCCCGGGGACACCATGGTGCAGTACATGGAGCTCTTCAACAAGATCCGCAAGCAGCAGCAGGTGCCCGTGGCTGGGATCAGGTGAGAGGATTCCCTGGAGCTCCTCCTGGGAGTACATCCTCCTTGCTGCCTGCCCAGCAGGATCGGGAGTCCCTCTGAAACGCGGCATGGGACGGGTTTTTTTCCTTCTGCATCTCCTTCCCCTGGTTCAAAGCAGAGTTTTCCAGTGCTGTGTGTGTTTCTGGTTGTTCTCCGTGGTTTGGAGCGTGTCTGGGATTAGATCCATGGTTCTGCGGATTGGATCCGTGGTTCTGTGGTTCTTTGGGCAGTGCTTCGTGCAGGGAATCAGTGTCCATCAGCAGGAAACTGCAGGAAAAGGAGAAATTCCAGCCAAACGCAAGGGCAGAGCTTCTGTGACTGCAAACAGCTGCGGAACAGAGCTTTTAATTTTTTACTTCTTTTTTTAATATCCACATAAAGGTGTCTTCTTGTATTCCACCCCAATAAACCTGTATTTTTGGAGAAGTCTCTGCCGCGTTCTACTTCCAATTACCCCCCTGACGTCAGTGGGTTTCCACGGGGGAGAGGATGAGGAGGACTTAGTCATTCATGTCTCAGCAAAGCCTATTGGTCTCCATTCTGGGATCTGCTGCCTCATGTTACTGTGGGGCTTTTTTACTTTATTGATGGACAAAATTACTCTTTTGAGGTCCCCATCACCTCAGAGACCCTGTGGGGTTCCCCCCCATCACCTCAGAGCCCCCACGGCCCCCCATCACTTCAGGGTCCCCCATCACCTCGAGCCCACCCTGTCACCTCAGGGACCCCGCGAGGTGCCT